GGAAAGTATTAGCCCAAGAGACAGAAAGGGCCACATAAACCAGAGACTTCATCAGCCTGAGACCAGAAGAACTAGATGGTGCCTGGTTAGCACCAATGACCACCCTGACAGGGAACACAACAAAGTCCCTGACGGAGTGGGGGAATAGTAGGATGCCGAACTCAAATTCTAGTAAAAAGACAAGACTTAACGGTCTGACTGAGACTGGAGGAACCCCAGAAAGCATGGCCCCTGACTCTCTGTCAACCTAAAACTAAAACAATTCCTGAGGCCAACTCTTCAGACAAAGATTAGACTAGACTGTGGAACATAGAATGATACTCGGAAGAGAGTGCTTCTTAGCTCAAGTAGTTACATGAGACTCAATGGGCAGCTTCTGTCTGGAGGTGAGACGAGAGGGCAGAGAGGTTAGGAGCTGGTTGAATGGACACGGGAAGTCAGGGGTGGAAAGGAGGAGTGTGCTGTCACAGTATAGGTAGAGCAATTAGGGTTACATAACAATGTATGTATAAATTTTAGTATGAGAGACTACTTTGAATTGTAAACTTTCACTTAAACTACAACAATAAAAAAAGGGCTTTTTTCTTGGGTGTAAGAAGAGCAGGTGTCTTTTAGTTCATAATTAGTCTCTTGATAGAACGAGTTTTCTGGAGGGGAGGAAAACTATATTTTAGATCTCTTTCTTGGCATATAGTTATTGTTTTTTGGAGTCTTCCAAAAGCAGTGGAAATATTCGTGTTAGTAAAATTCAGGATGAAAACTTATTGTTTCCAGTGCTATGTCTCTTAACCACAGTATCTGAGTCTCAAAGAGCAGTCATTTCAACAGATAAGTGAGCCTGGACGGTTTAACTATGATGCCACAGCTCGGGAGAGTCTCTAGGAGGTTTGGTTATCAATGGAATCTTTTTTGGAATTTTCTAGACTGCAGACAATTCTTTAGGCCAAAGAAATCTCGGTGGGTCCAAACCTCATAGGGATTTGTTCCACCAACCAGGCCCCACAAGCACCAGACTAGATCCCAAATATATTTAAATGAAGGATCTTAGAAAACTGAGAGAAGAGGAGCTAAAATGAGTGAAATAAAGAAAAGCAAAAATCTCATAATTAAATAAGTCCCTATCATATGACACGATTAAGAAGTTATGTTGTAGATGTGTACATCTGTGAACGTATACACACGTGTATGTGTTTGTATGTGTGTATGTACATGACGAATTTACGGAAATAAGTCTCAGACTGCTGTTGGAGTTAGGGTCATAATCCATATGAGGTATCCTGGGTTTTTAACGCCAACTGCTGGATAAGGAGAAGATAGAACCAGTATACTGATCTGACTCTAGAGCTAGCACACAGGGTTATTGGCTGATATTTCAAATTGCATGAGTCCCTGGATGGTGCAATTGGTTAAATGCTTGACTACTAGCTGAAGGTTGGCAGTTCAAATCCACCCAGAGGTGCTTTGGAAGACAGGCTTGGTGATGGGCTTCTGAAAAGTCACAGCCTTGAAAACCCTATGGGGCAGTTCTACTCTGCATGCATGGGGTCACCATGAGTTGGAATCGACTCAACAGCACCTAACAACATTTTAAATTGCAGTGTACAATTGGGGAGTGTTGTTGTTGTTAGGTGCTGTCAAGTCTGTTGCAACTCATAGTTACCCCATGTGACAGAGTAGAACTGCCCCACAGGGTTTTCTTGGCTCTAATCTTTGTGAGAGCAGATTGCCAGCCAGATCATTCTCATGCAGATCGACTGGTTGGGTTCGAACCACCAACCTTGCAGTTAGCAGCCACGCGCTCGCTCAACCTTTGTTCTACAGGGCTCCTCATTAGGGGGGTAGTTGTTTATATTGCATTGCCAAAGGGCCTGATGAACTGAGACAGGATCTGGACTAGCATCTAATGGGGGTAAACCAGGACATGATGACACCGGGAGTTTGCTTGGTTTTGGTGAGGTTCAGTCTGTGTGTTAGAGATAGCAGTGTCTAAAGAGGCTAATGAAGTCAGGGCCTGACAGGAAACCTAGCAGGGGAAATTAATCCGTAAGTACATTAGGTAAGGTAAAAGGCCCTCAATTTTGTCACTCGTTGGATAATCCCTTTAACATAAACTTCAAAAGAGCCTTAACAGTAAAGAAATATTATCTGCCATATGTTCCTAGGAAAAAATATTGAATTTTATCTCTCCATGTGACTAAATGTGCTACCCCAGTAATGGAGTATAAGGAAACATTATGAAAACCTATCGACCAGGATTCTGATGGATGCTTTACTCTATTATTTTATATAATAAAAGATGGTTCCCTATGGTATGCAAGGATTTATGACTCCTGAGAAATTAGGTTAATTTACAAGTTACGGTGATATTTTATATTCTATGTCATTGCATGATACATTTTTTATTTAAACAACCTCAGGGACTCTCCAGTGGTATTTTCAAGTGTGGGTTGGCAGATACCAGAATTACCTGCACAAAACCAGAAGGGAGGATTTTCAAATTCCATACCTCCTCTGAAATGATCACTAAAGGCTCATGTCCTTTTGACTGAGAATCCCTGCCTTAGTAAAGAGGACAGCCAGACCAGGTCTTAACCCAGGTCTTCTAACATCCTACTTTACCTCATTGCCTCTACTTGCTTGTAGATATTGCATTGATCTTTCTAGGTGTATTTGAGTGTCTTCAGTGAAAGAAAAATATGTATTAATTGAACAATTACTGTGTGCTCCCCACCAACATAAATGCACAAAATGATAGCAGGAAGTAGTGATATGGTATATAAGGGCTAAAGGAGTTCAGAAGAGAGAAAGAGATAAGCAACATTACAGAATTAGACGTTGAACTGTTTGTTGTTAGTTGCCGTCAAGTCAATTTTCAACTCATAGTGACCTCATGTGACAGAGTAGAACTGCCCGATAGGGTTTTCTAGACTGTAGTCTTTACTGAAGAAGATCGCCAGGTCTATCTCCCACAGAGTCGCTGGGTGGGTTCGAACCACCAACATTTTGGTTAGAGCCAAGTGCTTAACCATTTCACCATGAAGGATCCTTACATGTTGAACTAGGTCTTAGAAAATGGGTAAGAGTTGGTTTGATAAAAGTGAGGGGAAAGACTAGCCCATGAGAGGGAACAGCCTGAGTGGAAGATAAAGTGATAGTAACTTAGTGATGTAATACCGTTTGGTTTAGTTATTCAATGAACTTAATTTTTAAGTCATGTTTATACATAAATAGTTTTTGAAAAGCACTTATTTTGTGTAAATATCTATATTAAGGAAAAGGCTCAAGAAAGCTAAAGGTTAACTAAATGAAACATATATTTGATAAATTCATTTACTTGTTTTAGGAATGTATGAATGAAGACAGTATGGCCTGTGGAATTAAATAGAAACCAAGATTGTATTTGGAATAGAATCTCAGCCCTTTCATTCACCAGGCTTGTGATTTGGGCCCAGTTAAGTTCACTGAGCCTCAGGTCTCTCATCTGTAAATTGGGAGCATTTGTAGCTAACTCCGTAAGTCTGAAGATGGTCTTTAGGATTAGATACCACTTTAATGTAGTCCCGCTATACTCAAAACAGACATGAAAAACCAACCACGAATATAAAATTTTGTGATAAGAGTAAAAATGTTGATTTTTCTTTTAAAGATTTTTTTTCCCTTTCTTATCTTAAATATCTTCAAATATATTTTAAAATCAATGGCCTCTGCTTCCCACAAAGTCTATGCTTGTTAGATGAAGGGGCCTCTCTCAATCCCCAAATTGCAAACTTCAAAGTTTCATTTCAATGGGCAAGACAGTTAAATTGGACTTCTTAAATAGAAAAAGAGGGGAATGTTTATTAGGTTTGAAAAATATCATTATGAAAGGTTGCCAAAGTCTTAAAAGATAGGTATAAAATTTCAAGCAAATCCAGAGAAGTTGGAGAGACAATACGTTGAAAACATGAGATATAGTCAGTACAAATGCAATGACGTAGACTTCGGAATTAAGAGAGAAGAATGACAAATGAAAGGAAGGAAGGGAGGAAGGGGGGCAAGGAGGAAAGAAAAGGAAGAGAAAAAGGGAGAGAGGGAGGGAGGAAGGAAGGAAAAATAGGAAATTCAGAGAGGGTGAATAAGGCATTTTAGCACATGAGTTCTGTGGACCAAACCTGAAATGAGTCACCAAAAATAGCCATGTCACTTACTCTTTCCCTTAATGAGTATTGTTGCTCTTATAATCTCTCAATAGAAACTACCCCTAAATGTGGTTAAATGTGCAAGGGAACAAGGCCTATCCTTCAGTCGTCTGTTCTTTATTCCCCAGCAGGTGATCTGAGGATAAAGCTCCTTTTTGAGTCAGCTGTTATAAAATTATTTAATCACCCACCAGTGATTAGTTGACATCAGAAGCATTTGTGTATTAACACAAGCAGTTTGCACTCAGCTACCAACCAAAAGGTTGGCAGTTGGAAGCTACCCATCAGCACCATGGAAGAAAGGTCTGGTGATCTGCTTCCATAAAGATTACAACCAAGAAAACCCTATGGAGCAGTTCTACTCTGTAACACATGGGGTCACCATAAGTAGGTATTGACTCAATGGCAATGGGTTTTTGTTGTTAGCAAAACAGAAAGGGAATCTGAATGCCCTTCCATCCCTACAGATGTTATCAGCTAATACTTGGTCTTTCTCCTTCACAGAGCCTAAGGTAAGCTGCAAGTTAGGCCGGTCTGCGTCCACATCAGGTGTGCCTCCTCCATCAGTTACTCCTCTCAGGCAAGCCAGTGACCTGCAACAGAGCCAGGTACCATCATCGTTAGCCAGTGGTGATTGACTTCCTGTGATGCAACATACCAAATGCTTCCCACCTGTCTGTCGTGTGTTGCTGTAGACAACGTTTGCGTTTGCTTTTCTTTTTCTATGTGTGTATGGGTGGGTGGGATGAGCTGTGCAGTCTGTGTTTTCATTCAAAAAGGAAAGTCTATCTTCCCTGTGATTGGTGAAACTTTCTTTGCTGTTTGTGACCAAATCGTTTTTTGTCTCTGGTTTCCATCATTCTGTAATATAAATGTAGTAAACTTGTACTATATGTATTGGCTTAGTGGTTAATTTTTTAAAATTCTTTCTCTCTTCCATGTTTTGTGTACTTTTATACTGTCTCTGAAAATTTATCAACATTTGATAAATTTATCTACTTTGTTTTATGTATATTTCTTTTTAAATGTTTTGTCCACAGTATTTGCACAGATGTTATCAATGAATTTGTACATAACTCTTAGTTCTTATCCTATTATACTGTAATATCTTTGGCAACTTTACCTTTATTTTTTACATAGCTTGGAGCATGATTGTAAGACACTGTGAATATCGATGTCCTTATAAATATTCATATGCCAACTCATTTGGATTAAACATGGCAGCTAGCCTCTCTTCTTTCTTAGGCCATAGAAACAAATTGACCTACCAGATAATATAGGATATTTACCCAAAACTTTAGATCAATAAGGCAACCTTGAATAAATGACTTTTTTCTCTTATATAAACAATCAAAATATTCTCCAGAAGAGAATATAAGTGTCTTTGCATGGTAAATGAGATCTCTATTATCACTTGGAGAAAAGAAACAAGAAATAAAGGTGTAAAGTAAAATATCACTTAATCCTTTACAGTACAACATATTGCTCTGATGTTCATTTGGGCGCGTGGTGGCGCATGGAGAATTTTGTAGGGGGAAAGTCACTACACAGAAATGTCCTATGTAGAACTCACCCAACAGGAATTCAGTACGTTGACTTCATCAGTAAAGCTGAATTGCTGCTGCTGTTAAGTGCTATGGGTGTTACATAGGATAATCCTGGAGTGGTTTCTCTCTGCTTCCCAGCTTTCTTTGCATCCATGAAACTCTTCTGAATTAGGAAATCATAAAGCTCGTGATGATCCCTCCATGGGAATTGCCCATTACTGATAAGCAAATTATACACTCATCGATTATTTAAAATGTCAGGCTATTTTGAAAATATAACTAGGCAGAATAATTGCATCTTTTTCCAAATGGAAGATAGTGTGCTTCTTAGTATTTTGTTCTGAATTAAATATGCACAGGGTTTCATTAATGAACATGCAAGGTATCTACAAACACAAGAGATGAGAGGCTGCTCTCAAGAACATCTCAAGTGTGATTTAGAGTTTATTGAGTCTTAGTTTAAAATGTTAGATGACTTTATAACAAAATGTAGCCAGCTCAAACACTTTCTGGATATAAAAGAAATAGAAATAATAAGACAATGAGTTAATAAATGCGTAAGAACACAGTTAACCTCATTAAGATAAATTGTACCTTAGTTGATTAAAGCTATTCAGAAAATACTAGATTCACCAATACCTAAAATTTAAACAGAAATTTGGATACAGAAAGGAGAGAATTTTAGCTAATTGGCAGAGGATTGCATTAATACAATCAATTTTCCAAGTACATGATCTTTGTTATTAGATTATCTTCATTGTCTCAGAGGGATTTTGTTTTCTTCTGTTGTTGATTTCTCCAATCGTTTTTATAGCTTCTTCATCTTAAGTCCATTTAAATGTCAATGAAAGCAGTTCCTCAAGAGGGTGAACTTTCAGAAACATGCTACAGTTTTTGTGCCTTTGCATTATCAAATCTTTGCTCATCTGATGGGATGCTCTACATTCTTCAAAATATAGCGACACAAGAAAGCTCCTCACACCATTTGTATGCTGTTGGTTTCCTTATCTACTGGCAGAAATTCTGGCCCACAAGCCATGTTGTAGATGGGGTGTAATAGCTACAAAATGGAAAGCCGGCTTGTGAACTTCTCTTCTGTGGAGTGTGACCAGTTGTAGTATTAATGTATTCCTATATGGTGCAATGGTTAAAGAGCTCTGCTGCGAACCAAAAAGTCATCGGTTCGAACCCACCAGCAGCTCCACAGGAGAAAAATGTGGCAGTCTGCTTCCGTGAAGATTCACAGCCTTGGAAATTCTATGGGGGCAGTTCTACCCTGTCCTATAGGGTCACTATAAGCCGGAATGACTTGACGGCAGTGAGTATATTCTAGAGCTAAAGGGGAAAGCATAATTTGGAAGAAGCTTCCTCTGCACTCCTATGATCTAGGATTCAACTAAAGTCAGTGAATTGAAGATTATTTAAGATTCTCTTCTCACCTAATTTTCACATCCTTGTCATAAGCATGACTGAGATGTCTCTTTAAATTACAACCAGGAAGACACTGTCCTTTGATCAGTAACCCAAGGCAATGGTGGAAGACATTTGAACACGTTGAATCTAAGAGTGAATACAACAACTAGGTAGGTTATGGGACACCAGTAATATCAAACAGACTCAAACAAACAAGCAATCATCTTGGTGACCTTTTAAGGAGTTTTTCAACACGAGGATTCCCGATATTATCCAAACCCAGAATTCTTAATAATTAATAGATTTCTCAGGAAGCCTGGTTGTGCAATGGTTAAGTACTCATCTGCTAACCAAAAGCTTGGTGGTTTGAACCCACCAGCAGCTCCGTGGAATAAAAGACCTGGTGATTTGCTCCCATAAAGATTACAATCTAGAAAACCCTATGGGGTAGTTTTACCCTATCCTATAGGGGCCTATGGGTTGAAATTGATTCAACAGCACACAACAAGAATGATAAATTTCTCATTAGGACATCAGTGGAAAACCATATGATCTATTAAAAACAAACAAAAGAAGTCACGAAACCATAAGTAATTCCAATGGTCTATTGAGCAAACTCGCCTCAGGAAGGCTGTGTCATTTTAGTCATCCTGCAAGACATTACTGCTCATAGTGAAGGGAAATAGGCTTCTACTCAGATTGTTTGTTCATATCTTATCTCTTTTCAGTTCTTGTGGCCCTGGTTTGTCACTTACCATTTCATGGCATAGTTGAGGTGTTCTAGGAAGTGTTGTAGGTGTAGTAGATATAAGTACTTGGCATTGTCCTACTTCCAGAGATGCACAGAAGTGCCAATAGTGACTGGTTGTGCCCCTGAGGAGGCTAAGGCCAATAGTGACTGACTATCCCCTAGAGGAATCCAAGGTCAATAGTGACTGACTACATTCAAAGAATGTAGGGTTAATAATGACTAGCCACTTCCAACGGGTCTAGGGCCAATAATGACTGATGGCTCCCCAGTGAGCCTACGGCCAAGATGACTGACCATTTCCCAGTGAAGTCAATAGTTATTAACTACCCTCAAAGAGCCTAGGACCAATAGTGACCGACTCCCCCACCCCCGAGGAATCTAATGCTAATAGTGACTGACCACCACCAGAGTGGAAACCCCGGTGGCTGCTAACCAAAAGCTCGGCAGTTCAAATCCACCAAGCGCTCCTTGGAAACTCTATGAGGCAGTTCTACTCTGTCCTATTGGGTCGCTATGAGTTGGAATGGACTTGACAGCAATGAGTTTTTTACCACCAGAGCATGTGTATAAACAAAGGTGAAGGCAATGTATCGCCTGGCTTTGCAATCTGTTTTAGCCTCATTTAACTGCAGCAGATGCAAAATCTGTACAACTGGATAATCTCATCTGACTGGAACTTTAAAATATGTGAAAGAAGATGGGAAACTTGGGGAAGAAGTCAAGCATGAGTTCTAAAGCATTTTGAGTTTGTTCTACAATGTATAAAACTCTCTAAAACTCAGGAAGAAGAGATGAAAAACAGGGTTTTTTGTTTGTTTGTTTTATTAATTCACTCCTGAATACGTAGAGTAGGCATAAGACAATTAGGGGAACATGACATTTCTTGGAATTTTATTGTGACGCAGTAACATGTTTTGGCATTTGTCATAATGCAAATCTTTGAAAATTAGACTGAATTTCTGGGCCTGCAATTAGGAAGTGATTTTCTTTTCTTAGTTATAAAAGTAAAAATATATGTTGTTGCTGTTAGTTGCCGCTGAGTCAGTTCCGACTCATGGCGACCCCATGTGTGCAGAGTAGAACTACGCCATAGAGTTTTCAAGGCTGTGACCTTTCGTAAGTAGATCGCCAGGCTTTACTTCCAAGGTGCATCAAGGTGGGCTTAAACCACCAACCTTTCAGTTAGTAGTCCAGTCGTCAGTCATTTGCACCTTCCTGAAACTTCCAAATGTATAGAAATATTATATTGAACTTCGAGCACATGTCACATTCTCTCTTTTTTTTTCTTTTCTGTGACTAAGTAGAAAGCTGTGAACTCAGAAGAGATGTGAGAGCTTTGTAGACAGTAGATGAGGTTCATGTGATTCTCCCATCTCTGACTGAGACAGGCCTGCCTGTTCAGTGACCCCCATTGGAGATGGTGTTATCCATAGTCTTGGCCATGTGAAAACCAGGCTTCCTTCAAGTCTATAGGTGCCAGGAAGAGTATTTCTAAACAGAGTGCCACTTCTCCTTGAAAAATTTTCCCAAGAAATATTTGAATTAGTCTTTCTGGGAAGTGGGGAGATGAGAGCCACACCCTCCATTACACATACAAACATACACACACTTACACATTCAAACTCCCTCACACTCATATACACTCACACTCACACATACTTATACACACACTCACACACTCTTATACCCACTCATATATACACTTACACACTCATGAACACTCATATATACACACATACTCATACACACATAAACACACACACATTATCAAACTCCCTCACACTCAGACACACACAGTCATACACACATGCACACACTGGTACATACACTCACAGCTACAGATGCACTCATTCACACACACTAATACACACTTACATACACTCATACACTCACACAC